TTTGTTGTCATTTTGAGTCTCTTTGTGGTCATTTTGTGTCTCTTTGTGGTCATTTGATTTCCTCCATCCTCCAAATGACAGACGGTTCTCTGACAGTTTTAAAAAAACTTTCAGAAAGATACAAAATGTGGATTGTATTAGAGTGTATGTATGTACCTAATAAACTGGTAACTCACTGTAGCAGCGCACAAATACCCTTTGGTCCACTTTTAGAATTCCATTGCGAGACAACAGCATTGGTGCAAGTTGTGTTTTCTCTTGTTGGTCGCAGAAAAACTACAACAGACATTGAAGTTTTTGAACGCTCAGAATATCTGTGTTAGTGGTCTTTTCCTGAGTCGTCCATAGTCAGTAGGGATACAGCTGTCCCGTATAAACACAGCAGCACACAATGTTCTACTTACAGTACACAAAAACTGGCTGATCACTGAGAGTCTGGCAGACAGCCATCGCGTTTCCATAGAAAACTCCTCAGCTTGGCCCTCTGCATGAGAAAAGCCACACCACTGACTGCGTCTGGATAGAATAAGGAGTTGTGATGAGTCAACCTTTCCTGAGCTGAAAGGTGATGCATTATAGGCTGCCTGCAGGGTAATTGTTCATATGATTGATGATCCTTGTAGCCATGCCTGCTCCCATTATTTTGTATTTTGACATTTCCCTTACTTGTGGGATTTGGATGAGAAGCACATTAGTGAGTCTTTGAGGCACATTTTGACCTCTCAGCTCTGTGGATGTATGAGAGCAGTAAACTTCTTGGCATTTTAAAATGCCGCTGTGAATGCATGGTCAACTCATGAAGAAATATACTTATTCTTTTGTAAGAATGCTTCACTTTATCAGTTTTTTCCCCCCCTCAATTCCTGACTCCTGTTTCTTTTCTTTGAGTTGATAAATGTTTTTTCTGGCTCAAGGTTGAAGATTCCTCTTTCTCTTTTCCACTGCTCTGGGAACTACATCCAGGACACATCATGTTTTATTCCCTGAGCAGCTGCTGAACAACTGATATTTGGACGAGTACATGTGTTTCCTAAATAGAGAGGAAAAGTCTTTGGTTCTGTTGATTTTCCTCTTTCCCCATGTGAACTTCTGATTCTATTAGTTTCTCTTAATCATTCAAATGTATTGAAAAGGCAAAATTCTGCATGATTCTTATTCAGTGAACTAAATCTTGCAGTTGTGTTTGATCAACAATGAATCAAAATCAGACCGTTGGTGCCTAAAAACATGGCAGTAACTCATCTATGCCTTCATCTCCTCCTGCTCACATTAACTTCCACTCTCTTTGTTTAAAACCATTTTAATTGCTTTTAAAGCTCTCCATGGTTTTGCCTCGTCTTATACAGTATTCAGACCTTTTTAGTTCCATATTCTGCACCAAGACCACTTACATCTGTTAACCAAATGCCCACCAAATGCCCAGGCATGGATCTATGGATGACAATGTGTGTTGGTCGGTCAGTCCACCACTTTTATCCATACTGAAATAGCTCTTACTTTTAGATGATTTGTTATGAGATTTTTTTACAGACATTCATGGTCCCCAGAGGATGAATCCCAATGACTTTGGTGATCCTCAGACTTTTCCTCTAGCACCATCACGATGTTGACATGTGTACTTTAAGTGAAATGTCAAAACTATTTGATGGATTATGTAATTGTGTTTACTATATTATCTATCACAGACATGATTTATTACAGACATTCATGTACACCAGATGATGAACCATAATGTCTTGATCACTTCATTTTGTATCATTCGCAGTGGGTCCAGATCCACCAGCAGGAATGACTTCAAAGCTGAAGAGTAACTGAAACGTCCAATGATCTGACCTTTTCCTCTGTCCTTACTGCAGGCACAGCTATGTTGGGTGTCCTCACCCTTCTGTCCCTCAGCTCCCTGGTGGCCCTGGTGCCTCCTCCAAATGTTCCTTGTGTCCTCTGTCATCACTGCTGCAACCACCTGGAGCCAGCAGAGGGCAGCGGAGCCCAGCCTCCCACAGCAGGGTTCAACCATGTGCCAGAGGTCCGCACCTACATCAACATGACCATCCTCAAAGGTACGATATCCGTTAGCGGCCCATGTACATGTACTTGAGACCACTTTTTGTCTTTGTTGATGCAGTTTGACCACCACATATGGCCAAACATCAGTTGTCTTTTGCTGCTTTAAAAGTTCACATATGCTGATTTACAGACAGAGCTTTTAGGTGATTTAGGGGCCTACTTCAGGATTCTTGGAGTATACTTGTCAAAGTAGCTCCCACGGATTCTCTTTAAGTGGAATTTATAGACATGTTTATCTTGAATTGAACTAAACCAGGGAAGGCAATGTGGCTTAATTTCTGACAGCAGTGTGACTAACATCGCTCTGCGCAGGTGACAAAGGTGAACGTGGCGACAGAGGAACTCCAGGTAAAGCTGGACAAGAAGGCCCCTCAGGCTCCAGAGGTTCCATGGGCTCAAAAGGTTCTAAGGGCCAGGCGGGTCTCCCAGGAGACCCCTGCAAAGTCCAGTACTCTGCCTTCTCCGTCGGCCGTCGCAAATCCCTCCACAGCCTGGAGTCCTACCAGGCGCTTGTGTTTGACACAGTCTTCGTCAACCAAGACGACCACTTCAACATGTTCGATGGGAAATTCCTCTGCCAAGTCCCGGGGATCTACTTCTTCAACGTCAACATCCACACGTGGAACTTCAAAGAGACGTATCTGCACATCATGCACAACGAGACGGAGCAGGCCATCGTGTATGCCCAGCCCAGCGACCGCTCCATCATGCAGAGTCAGAGCCTGATGCTGGAGCTGAAGCTGAAGGATGAGGTGTGGATCCGCCTGTACAAGAGGGAGAGAGAGAATGCGATTTACAGCGATGACGTAGATGTCTACATCACCTTCAATGGATACCTCATCAAAGGTATAGCCTAGAGTGGAACTGAGCGAGAGAGGGAAGGCACGGCCCGAGGATGAGACTGTCCGAGCTCGGTTGGATGGAAAGCAAACAAAGTGTACTGACATGGCAGCAGAATGCAATTCAATGTAAAATTGTTTCTATATTTAGATTTTGAAAAAGCATTTCAGTTTGCTCCACAGTGGTGCTAAGATTAAAATGGTTACCGGAGAACAAGCAATACCTCTTTGAGAAAATGTGAAGAAATAAACTGAATACGCTCGTCAACCTAATAGAAAATGTAATAGTTCAACATTTTGGAAATATAATCATTTTCTTTTCTTGCCGAGAGTTAGATGAGGAGATTGATATTCTCACATCTCATGGTAACCAGCAGCCAGTTAGCTTAGCTCAGCATAATATCTGGGAATCACCAAACAGCAAGCCTGGATCTGTCCACACGGGTAACAAAATCTCCCTACCAGCACCTCTGAAGCTCACTAATTCAAATTCATTTGTAGTTTAAAAACAACTATCTTGAGCCTGACCAGTTCTTGCCCCCCGGAGCAGAGACAACTTGACATGTTTACTCTTTGGTTTTGCAGGAATTAAATAAACAAGATAAAGATATTGAATTAGTGCCGATGCAAGTAGGTTTGCAGCCTTCAGATGGAGCCAGGCCTGCTGTTTCCTCCCGTTTCCAGTCTTAATGCTAAGCTAAAGTGGAGAACATCTTGCGATGGGATCACACCAGGCGGGATGCCAAATTAGGCCAGGTGGGGGGGGGGCCTTCCCTACTTCCAACCCCCCTACTACCTACACCCATCTTCAAACTCAACCATTTTTATCTTAATTACACACTTGTAAAGTTTTGTAACAGCATCTTGCACGGTCGTGAAGGTATCACGATGACAAAATATGTTCACAGATATATAAAAAGTACTTTAAAGCAGCGTTTTGTGTAACCCGGCTCTGGTAAGAAAACTTAGTGAGTTCACAGAATAACGTGGACTGTTGTTGAGTTTCACATGTGGTGCTAAAACATGGTGCTAACTGAACGATAGTTGTGAAACTGGGGGAAGTACAATGTCTGGATGTCCCAGAAATATGTATTGGATTCATTTTAATTTCTTTTTTATTGACTGAACTATGTTTTGCTTTTAAAGTGTACTTGAATGTTTGTCTCCCTCCCTTTTTTATTATATTATCATGTGACTGAAGATAAACTGGAGGCGCAACTGCAACATAAAGCAGCAATAGCTAATCTGACAAGTCTAAAGTTAGTTATATTAAATTGATTAACGTCAGCTGTGACACAAATACCTGCAGTTAATACATTTATTATCAACTCTGGTACTAACGTGACTATAAAAGCATTAATGCAGGTATTCCAATTGTATAATACTCTTAATTGTAGTAATCACACTAATTGGTTTTACTAATAGTCTTTGTACTGATATTAACATTGTGTTTTAGCCACAAATTGAATGCAGTTCCTCACTGTGACCACTGGAGGGATGATTTTAAAGCATGATGCTCTCATGTCACAACCTCATGTTCAGTGAAAACTTTAAAAAATAAAACAGGCAAAACGGAGCTCGTGTTTCTGTTTATGTGAAGGCTTAACATCGCTGTTACACCATTGCTGAGGATGGGAGCTGTCTTCTTCTTATGATGCTGTTCACCCAGGCGCACACCTTCGCCCACCACTACAGATGCCTGTGGAGACGCAGGCTGGTGGGAAGCCAGTGAGGGATCACACCCATGTTGCAGATCTTGCTACCCTCACATCTTGTCTGAACTGTCTCCAAAAGGTCTTGTAATGAAGGTTTTTATGAAGATGTACACAGTGACACCTTGTAGCAGAAAGGGAGAAAAGAAACACAATGCACAGAATAGCCCTTCTCCAACCTTGACAGGAAACAAAGGTGTGGAAAGTGAGGAGATAAATGAGTCACACCTGTGAGCCGGGGGGAGGGGAGCATCTACTAACAGAAGCAGCATGGAGGAGAACAGAGGGAGGAGTGAGAGCGCCTAAAGGAGGAGATCATTGAAGTGTTATTCAGTTTCTGAGATCCAAGAACTGGCTGTGGTTTCGTGAACTTTCCTGGATGACAAGGCCTCGGTGGAGGTGTGCTGATCCCGGGAGTAAGTGGTTTACAAAGGATCTGGTTCAGCTACAGCTTGGACCTGCTTGGATGCAACTGTGGGCCTCCTGGCCATGAAGATAAGTTCCCTCTAATGCAACTCTGCAGGCTTCTCCTCCTTTTCCCTCAAATTGACATGAACTGCTTTCATGCATGCGCACACACACACACACACACACACACACACACACACACACACACACGTACGCACTCACACTGAACTGCATGTGACTGAAATTAACTGCCTTCCTTCATACCTACAAACCTTGAACTGAATTATATTCATTTAGTTTGGAAAGGACCCAAACACACACACATGCACACTCACACTCATGCCACACCTCTTCAACAAAAAAGATTGAGATTTATCGGGATTCCTCATTTAATTTAATTACTCAACGTATTTGATTTTCATATTTGAAATAGTTTTTTGATTTAATGGACACTTTGTGTGTAAGACTATATTTTATATGAACCATAGACTTTGGATTTGATTACTTTATATTTGTGTGAAATACAGCTGACTTAATTGATGAAACTTGATGAATTGTTTGGGTTTTATGTTGTGCACTACAACTGGTTCAAAGTAACATTGTCTTAAAGTGACCGGGTAGAAGTACGATTATTCTCCTGCCTGGCACACAACTCCTTATCCCAAGTTCTCTTTGATCCCATCAGGTTTGTGATGACGGCTCTTTGGTGTTTCGCATGTGCACGTATACCTTCATGAATGTGTCGTGAAGACGGCATGTTAATGTTTCAGGCATAAACATCCAGAGGTTTCCTTGATTTCGATAGACTTGTCCACATTTCCTGTTTACATTTCTGTGGGTGCAGTTTTCCTTTCCTGTTGCACTGATAAGGAGTATTACCCTCCCCCATTCCCACAAGGCTGTTATGTCAGCCCTCACTACAGACTATTCTGCTTCATGGTGGTGAGACAATAATACAAATAATTATTTGAAGGGACATCCTTGTGCCAATATTATCTAATGTGAAATGAGGAAGAAATCTTAATTCATAAAGAGAGACTAATGCGTATCCCACCATGCCCCACAACCTTTATTTCTCTTTAACGAAGACCAGATGACGCATGACACCATAACACTGAATGAACACTTTGCATTTTCCATAAACATGAGAGAGGGAACGCGTTTGTCAGACAAAGTCTTTTGTGACTTAATGAAATATGAATACATGTTTAGCAAAAACAGGAATCACAAAAATAGATTTTTTTTTTTTTTGGTCAGGGACACTAATGTAGGACAAGATGTGGCACCACAGCTTCAACAGACCTTTAAACCGTTTAACAGTATCCATGCTGTTGAAGCTTCGGGTCACTGTGTACCATTAAAAATAAAAACATGCCGCCAGTCCAACTAATCTTCATAAAGATCTCTTGCCACCCAAAGATTCCCATTCCAGAAGCAGCATGTATTCAGGTTTTATTCTGCTAATAAATAAACTGTTCCCTTTACAAAATGACTCCATCTTACTGTGTTGCTGTTTGTGCTTTTACAGAAAATACAGCCGAGAGCAAAAAGTCTGACATGTTTGACATTGGGACTGTAAAACAAGAAAATAAGACAGAAGAGCAAAACCAAAATACAAAAGAGATATAAAAACCTGACGATCCAAACACTGGTGAGGTGGGAGTGTGTGATGACTCGGTCTCTTTTCTTTTGTTTTTGTGCCGAGCATTGACCTGCTTTTCTGTGTGAACACTTAGACCTACATGGGAGAAAAAAAAAAACCACACCACACGACGATGGCAGACATCTGGAAAAACCACTCATTGACTCGGAATGAATCCCATCCTAACCAGAACTCACTGAACTAAGTCATTCAGGAGTCACAAAAAGCCCCAAATGTGTACGAAACAAATAACCCAGAAGGCATTGAGACACATACAGCTTAGTGACTTGCAGAATAATCACATACAGTACAAACCACACAGTAATCCCGTGTTAAATGACACACAAAGAAAGCAATCCACTGGACACGAGCACAGAGAGAGAGAGAGAGAGAGAGAGAATATCCCGGTGTATCAAGTGTACCTTCATACAGTTCTCACTGCATCGTGTTCAAAGTAAAAATTAAGTCCTTCTACAAAAATACTTTTTTTTTTTTTTTTTTTTTGCTGTGTAAACTTTTGCAACCAAAAGGCACGGTCTTATCTCCTCGTATAAAACATGCAGCCCGATCCGCGCTCCGATCATTGATTGATCCCCGCTCTTAACCCCCTTCATTAATACTGGCATAGCCTCCTTTTGCATTAACACATGTGGAGTGATGGATCTCCACTGCAAATACTAGAAAAACAAACAACCCACTCGGTTTTGGCTCCACATTATGTGCACGGCTCCTCGCTCCAAGACACCGTGCATCCCACGAAAACGCTGCCCGTGAAACTGCACTGCTGCAGTCTCCAGGGTTACCCGATGTAGGCCAACGTTAATAACTGCAGCTCGCTCGCGTGCGGGTGTGTGTGTGTGTGTGATCAAACGCTGATGATAACGGCGTCATGGCAACACAACAAGCATTAAAAGATCCCGTTCCCTTTGGAATACGGGCTCACCTCTGTACATCCAGCTGAGACGAAATGAATAGAAAGTAGAAACTCCAGGTTCCTGCCTCATTAGACGAGCTGAGACAAATCCAGATGTGCGGGCAGACGTTCACTGGAACTGCTGCGCTTCTGTACGATGAGATATCATCATGCTTTGAAAACTGGTCGAAGGGAGCAAGCTGCTAACGTGTCTGAAATGAATTAATCTATTAATGTAATAAGGTGGTGCAGAACGTGTTGTGTAACAAACGAGTATCCGCTTCGTCTGCGTGAGGTATAAAAGAAGTCTACCTGTCTCTGATGTCTCCGACGTCTTTTTAAACACGCATTAAAAAAATCCCTTTCGTCCTCCACCTAAACATTGTGCTTCCACAATGTGAAATAAATTACACGACCACTGACACTCTTAAAAACTAATCTACAAACACCTTGCTTTCACTCGGCGCCCACGTTTCCCTGTTCATTGCATACGTGTCGGCGTCACGACCAAAAGGGTTCCCGCGACATCGCCAACATGTACGGCTCTGTGACATCAACTCGGCATCCTGCTACAAAAGCCTGCGTGACCGTCGCAGTGAGTCACGACTCAACCGTGACGTGACGGGGCGTGGCGTGACATCAACGTTGGGAGCGGAGTTTTGGGTTGAGGACTACATTTGAATGTGCGACGCGTCGGGGACACGCGCTGCTTGCACGATGTCAACCGTCGTGTGCTTCTTGTTATCTTTGTGATTTGTAAAGAAAACGGTTGATAATGGCAATTAACCTGGATTCACCTCATTAGTGTGCTTCTTTAGAGCAGCGAGCGTCCTTAACAGTGTGCACATTCAGTGTAGGACACACACACACACACACACACAAGCCTGGAGGATACATCTGCAAACTCCAGAACAAGGGGAGGTGTCACTGCTGTTGGAGTGTAGCATTATTTCATTACATAAAAAAAAACGTGTGTCTGTGTGTGTGGCTGGGTGAGTTTCGTAGAAACGTGGGTCACTCATTGAGGATGGAGTCTGGTCTGTCGTAGCCAAAGAGCCTGAAGTCGGCTTCATACAGCTTGTAGAGTTCTCTCCGAGCCTCGGCAGACAGTGTGCTGAACCAATCGGACTCCCAGGTGCTGGCCGTGAGGTTCCTGTGGGAGGTGGGGAACTCCACCACGTTGTCCACCCGCAGCTGGCGCAGGAGGTGCTCGGCGTCGTCCTCCGCCGTCTCCAGGTGGCCCACAAAGTCGTACTGAATCTGGCACGGGTGGCACAGCCGGTACACCTGCCGCCAGTGCTCGTTGAAGGGCATCTCCTTCTCCGTCTGAGGGTCCAGGAGGTACTGGATGAAGTTGGAGAAGGAGGGGTGGATGCCCCCGTCGAACGCCTCGTCCACAGAGGCCGGCGGTGTCGGCTGGTTGGCGTAGCGGCGCAGCATGACCTGTGCGAAGCGCCGATAGAAGTCCTCGTTGCGCAGCTCGAATTTATTCCGGTAGGCGGAGATGAGGCGCACAAAGGGGTCCCGCACAAAAATGAACTTGGTGTATTTCTTCAGCTTCACCTTCAAAAATGAATCACAGAATCACTAACAGGGAATTAAAGCTAGCAGATGTGATATGTGTTACATGGAATAGTAACTATACAAACCTTCATGAGGTGCCTTGCAAACTTGCCGTATCGTTTCCAGAACTTGTTGAAGGTAAAGTGCATGCTGCTGTTGTGGACCAGGTCCCCGGGGATGGCCAACGGGTCTCTCTGGGGGACGCCGTCCCGCAGCAGGCTTTCACTGAGGACTATCATGATGCGCTTCCAGTTACTGCACGCGACCTAAGAGGAGGACCATGTGTAAAAGTCTAGTGGGTATTCATTATAGATGTGTGTGTGTGTGTGTGTGTGTGTTGTATGGATGGGACAAAAACATACTCAAAACTACAACCCAGTGTTCCAGCTCTTATTCACCATTTATTGAAAAGAGCACAAATCACCATGAGTGTAATTTTAAGTATTTGATCGTTTAGTCTGCCAGACTTGCATCACAAGTGCACTAAACGTTAACGTTAAAGCAGTAAATGTGTCCGCTTACCTTGGGAACATAGCAGTAGATGACACCGTGCCTGTCGTCCACGATCAGGTGGTCCAGCTCCCTGTTGGGAATGTCGTCAAAGGAGCGGTTTTTGCCAGGAAACGCCACGCTGTCGTTGGCGCACATCTCCTGGAGTAACCGCCGCCGCTGCTCCTGGTCGTACCATTTGGTCGAGCACAGACACATGAATTATTAGCGATTTAAAACGATGTCTTTGTTCACTTCTTCTTTCCATAGTACCTGACTTTAAGGCCCCGTACAGCCACACGGGGGTTTTCACGTGTTCTGACTGCCCTGTGGGTGGAGCTCTGCTGGACTTACATGAGGTCACAAAACTACACGAGCCAATGAGAAGGATTCAAATGTGAATTCATAAGAGGGTCAGAGAGCTGTCAATCAAACGGTGTTTACATGCCCACACAGTCCAGGGAACGGGTCAAATTAGGCAAAATAAGTGAAAGCACCTGTGTGGGTGTTGGCCGTGGCTCTTTAAAAGGAAATTTAGCAATTTTAGACTTATTTTAGCAAGTCTGCTTGTGTTAAGACACATTCGGCATTTGAGAGTTTAGCTTATGTAGGCAAAACAGGATCATCTATCTCAAAGTAAGGTATGACATGTTTTATATTGAAACACAAGAATTGCATTGTCAGCAATACAGAAAGAATATACCTAGTTTGGTTCAGTTTAAAATGATGTGAGCCAGCATGCAGCTCGCTCACCGACATCCTTCAATATTATTCATGACTCGTGTTATTTATACCGGTGCTTTTCTTGCTATGTGGAAAACATTGAATCCTACCAGTACTATTAAAGACCATGATGATAACTTCAGATAGTCACCTGTCTGTCCCGGAGCTCGGCTGCCACTGGGGTCAGGTGGATCTTCCACTCCCGCCGCGGTACATACCGCTCCTCTGCTTTCTCCGATTGGTTGCTTGTGTCGGCGGGGGCGGGGTCTGTGGGCTCGCCGGTTCCCGGCTCTAGGAACTGGTTCACGAAGGCGTCGATGTCTGACAGGAAGGACGGTGTCCGTGAGGTTTGAGGCTGATGATGATGATGATGATGAGGAGGGGGATGGGGGATTTTGGGGCCCGGCGAGACGGGAGTGTGCAAGTACAGGTGGGAGGCTCCGACGTCGTCCCAGTAGATGATGATCAGAAGGATCATGAAGGCCGAGCCCAGGACCACGAAAATACGGAACATCCTGGACGTTCCCATAGTGACTGTTGCTCTGCTACAGGATCACCACAGCAACAGAGTCAGGGTCCGGGAGCTCTCTCTCTCTCTCACCATGGCGATAGATGGGTGGATAGATGGCGACTGAAGCGGAGGCCGGTGGGCTCATCGTGACGCCGCTGTGCTGCAGGAATGTGCTCTCCAGGAGTGGAACTGGCCATCCGTGAATGAACCCTTACCTCTGCTCCATGCCTGCTGCACGCACACACACACACAAACACACACAATCTCTCTCACTGTTAGATAACCAGATATGTTTCTGGCTCGTCTCCTGACCGGCCAGCATTTGGACACCAGAAACAATTTAAAAACCGACATTATTCCTTTTTAAATTTGATTTTTTTGGGGGTAATTTTGTCAGCACATTTGAACAAGAAGAATCTTCGACACACAGATAAGCTCACAGAAACGCAGAGAAGAAATACACTTAAAATGACAAACCAGGTTACACATTAAGTATAATAATAGACAAAGGCTGCGGACCAACACTTTGGAGATCATTTAAGTGTTGCTGAATCAAACTCCTTGTTTCTCATTTTTCTACACTTACAGGTAATTAGAAAGTTAAAGATGTTATGTGAGCGAGGTATTTTTGCTCTTCTGTTAAGAGCCTGAAAACAAGAGCAATAAGAGCAAGTCTGACGGTTTACTGGCTTCCACTGCGTTGCTCCTTCACCGCTCTGCGTTGACTTAACTCCCACTGCTTCCCGGCAGTAAAATCACAAATGGTTGTCAAATATGTGCATGCCTCTGGGCTCTGCATACCGCGAAGTAATAACTTTTTGCATTGCACAAGTATCCCGCTGTACCCATACCAGGCTTCCTATGGATTATGGTACGGCATCGGCACACTTGAATACCGAGCACCCCCCCCACACACAAGTAATAAAAGCCTCAATGTTGGCAGCCTTTGAAAGAGGGCCAAAACTAACCAAGAAGATACGTTCCGCATGTCGAAAAAAGACACTGAAGCTCACTGTGCTCATGCGATGCACTAGATAGCTCTATAGAGCTGCAGAAAGACGGCCCGTGTCTTTTTCTACCTCTGCCGATCATAAGTCATGTTTCTTAATTCCCCCTCTATCATCTCCTTCCGCTGCACTTTAGAAGTCGCAGGGCGTCACTGTTTTCATTCCGACGCTCTCCTGCAGCAGCGCTCACATTATTTCCTCTTTCCTGGAGCTGAGAGGGGACCATTGACATGGAAAGTCATCACTGGCCTCTCCAGAGGCGGCAGGCTACACACTTCCTCTTCTTCTTCTTCCTCTTCTGCACACCAACGAAATCCACTGCTGTGCTATAAAGAACATTAAATCAGGCAAACGCTCTGTCCGCAGAAGCACTCTCAGCATAGCCTACAATTTAGAGGTACTTTATTTTAGCATTTCTACTTCAGGTGAAACTGCAACTCCACTACAACTAAACAGAGACCCTTAGAAATTAAGATTTTGTCTTTAGACGTGATGATTTTAAAAGCTGTGATGCACTGTTAGAAATTTAAATACTCAACTACAGTGTATAAAAAAAAATAGATGCACCTCGACCACAAAATAATGTATATATTATAGTAACACGTTTACGCATGGAGCACTTTTACTTAAGATGTGCTATTTAAACGCAGGACTTTCGCTTGTGATGGAGTTTGTTCTTAAGTAATATATCTGACCGCTTCCTCTGTCTACTGCAGACATGTGGATATATGGTAGTTTGAAGCATTGGATCAATATCTGGGGACGTAGAGGAAATGCTTAACACGCGCTTTTTTTCCTGTCTTTTTTTTGACATGAATATTTTTAGACTTTTCCACTCGCATCGCGTCAACAAGTCTCAATGTGATTTAAAGTCACGCTGCGAGCTCTAAATGATCGTATCCGTGGTTAAGTGAGTTAGTTTAGCACCACATCAGCGTGTCGGTGTCGGACCTACAGCTGAAGCAGCCGAGCCGTCTCTGCTGACCCGGCCGAGGATGAATCGCACCGTCCTGTCCGCAGCAGCCGCCAGCAGATGCCAGAGACCGAACACAATGTCGCCTTTGACGGGGAGAGCGGCGCCGCGTGAACGGGGCTGTTCCTTCACATCGGCAGGCTTTTTTTGTGTGGGGGGGGCACGCGGCTCGGTTCGTTTAAAAGCGTCGCGTGAAGCCGTCGGTCAAAATGTACGTGGAGACAAACGCAGAGTAGCAAGAAAAAAATAAATGCGAGCTTCCGCGCAGCCCGTGGTTTTATCAATAGACGCTATCAGTGTGTAGCGGGGTCTAGGTGTCAAATGCACCGCATTGAGCAAAGGTGCGTGCAGAAACAGGTTGCTACCGCCGAGCAGAGACGTGTTAGGTTACTTCATAGATTTATTGTTATTAATGTTAAAGATGAGTAAAGAAAAAACGACAATTTCTCACCTCTTTTTTGATGCCCGCGAGCTCCCAGCGCCGCGTCAGCTGGGACTGTGACGCGAGTCCTCCTTTCTTTCTTTATTTCACGGAGAGAGATGGAGCGTGAACACGCAAAGCAACGCGAGAGTTCGTAGTTGAAAGTTTCTGCAGAGTGAGCTCATGAGGGGAAAATATTACACTTTTGTCTTTCTGGGTCAGCTCCAGCACAACATGTCTCTCTGCTCGGGGATGATTTATGTAGACAGCCCCCCTCCTCCCTCCCTCCCTCCCACCGGAGCCGCGTGCTGAAAATAACCTGCTGTACCTGCAAAAACAAATGTCATCGACAGAAAACAATTAGACCAAAAGAATGCTGATAAGGAAATGTGGCAGTGGGGGATCTGTGACTATTTCTGTTGCCTCCGGCTGATGCGGTTAAAATCATGTTATTTGTGAACTCTTTTCATCCTGTGACATCAAACATAGGAAGGAGCCCCAACGGATACACACACACACACACACACACACACACACACACACTTATCTTCTTTCAATCAGCGTCACACATTTCACCTCCACTCACTGCTGATTTTACTCGCAGCGCAGTGCTCTCTCACGAATCTGCTTTGTATAAATTTGTATCCTGGCAGTCATTCTACTTTAAACACACACACACACACACACTCCGAGAATGAACACACCAAAGAACAAAACGTTCTCAACAGAAGGAAAATGTGTGATCAAGAACATCATTTCTAAGCACTGACAGACTTGTTTACTTCATGTATAAAACCGTATTATTTCATCATGTTTATTACTTTAGTATATTTGATTACTTTTCAATGTAATTACATTTTTCAATACAAATCGGTGAGTATCTTACAGTCAAAGTCGTATAAATATTAGCCTTGGTATTTCCCTACATGGAGAAAAACTACAGTATTGACTTAAGGAAGGCTGACATAGTGTGTTTTTGGTTTCTTACACACAGTATGCGTCTGATGTGATCATTTTTGGGAATGCTGCATTCATGCATCCACTATTCACAAATGAATAGTGGATGCATGTCTTTCCTCTCAGACGAGGAGATTATCTGGAACCCTTATGAAACAGGTTACTCTAAATCCCCTCTGACCTGTCTGTTTTTGTCAAATTGGAACGTCTGGTGGCCTTTGAAAAAAAATTCTCTGTCTAAACACAGATTTATGAGCTGTAGAAATCAATAAACATGCAGGTTTAGTGAGTTATGGATAATATTGCAAATCCAGAAGTTGTCTTTTTACATGAGTGACTCAGCAGAGTAAAGCAACACACTGATTAACGTAGTGATGGTTTGTTGATGATTTAAAATGTGATATAATGCATATTTGCATGACATACAGTGTTGGCAATCCTCAGCATTGGTGCAAAGAGTAATAAGTAAGACACGGGCTTCAATGCACAATTCATAATGTAATAAAAATAAAAGAGCAGCGCCACCAAAAACATTAGTCATTTAGCAGACGCTTTTATCCAAAGCAATTTACAATTCAGATTCTATCACACTTCCACAGGTACAGGAGCAATTTTGGGGTTAAGTGTCTTGCTCAAGGACACATCAACATGCGACTAGCAGAGCAGGAGCCAGGGATCAAACCGCCGACCCTCTGATTGAAGGACAGCCCTGCTATCCACTTAACCACAGTCGCCTGCACATGACTGGAACCTGCTACCGCTTCCAAAATTGAATACCAGGCCTCTTAAAACACACACTGACGCCAGCCAACAGCTGAAACCTCAGTTCATCTCAAGTTCATGTATAAACAACAAGGTTTCTAAAACACAGAACTGTTTTTCATCAGTTTATTTTCCAATCCTTCATTGTTTCTTGTGAAATGCTGCACAGCTTTGCCTCTTTAAGGCCTCTGGAAATGAATCAAAGGAAATCTGAGAAGAGAAATTCACTTTTTGACCGAACTGCTTACAATTTATAGACGTTCAACTGGTGACGAGGGGTCACAATGAGATATTGCTTCATAGTAAGAGGTCACCAAGGAAGAAAAAGGTGAAAATTTGCCTATGTTCACTTTTATGGAAAAAAAAAACACTGATTAGACCTTAGAAACCCTTGTGTCCATGTAAAGCTGTCTGTCACAGTTTCCTGTGTGAACTTGTAATGTGTTCTCTATAACATTACGCATTCAGTTCTATTCTACTTTATTCTATTCAAATAGCAGCGGCTTATCGGTTTATTGGTTTATGTAATATTTCTATTCCTGTAACATTTTTAGAAGAAGCACTGCGTAACAAATTTGCAACAAAAAATGTCCTAAATAAATAAATAAAAGGCTGATGTGATTTAATCCGATTTGACTTGAATCATTGCCGTGTGAAAGCCTGACGGTAGCCACAAGAGGACAGCATAATCAAAGTTAAGTCACAGCAGACTGAAATTGAAAGTACTGCTCAAAGAAGTGCACTTTGAACGCCTTCCCTTTAAATGCTCCACTGTGAAGTAAAAACATGTCCCTTTTTGATGTTTTCCATCTGTTTATTTATCTAAATCAAAGTAAACACACTCCTTTACAAAATATATATATAATGCATTTATTTTAAAATCTTTAGCAGTGCGAGTGTCCACAAGTGCATTTTTGAGTCTTAGCATAAATATGCACAAGAGCATGATGTTCAAGAGCGTTACATGGTGCTCGGCTACACGTGTCTATTTCCACGTGTGTGTCCGTGTGTCTACAGGAGGTCCTGCTCCACCCAGACCGTCTTCTTCTGCTCCTCCAGGATGCGGTCTTTGACCACCTTGATGAGGTCGTCCGTCCCTGCCCAGGCCTCGGGCTCCACGCTGGCATAGAGGCAGGGAATTCCCTCCAGCTCCTTTAATTTTGCTCGACACAACTTCATGAACTCGTCCTCCGACTCCCCGCGCAGAGGCAACTTCCTGTGTGGACAGGAAACAGGAAGGAAGCAGCGCTGCGGTGGTGAGTGTGGTACCCAAATATCAGTGATCCTGTAGACACTTTGCAACAGTGGTTAATGTACTTTGTTTTAATTCTCAGACAGGTAGACAATAATGGGTTCACATTTACTCTTTACTATTTTTAATGTTGCGGAAATGCCGACACATGCTTTTTATCACCAGCCGCTTGGATTATTGCAACTCTCTTTTTATTGGTCTAACCTAAAAAGTCTTTCGGAAAAGTACAGTTCATTCAGAACGCTGCAGGATTTTAACAAATACAAAAAGTGATCACACATTAGCCCTCTGCTCACATCACCAAACTGGCTACCTGTATCTTTTAGAATTGATCTTAAAGTTATCTTACTAATCTACAAAACTGTACATAATCACCTTCATATACCAGCGACTGCCGTTAACAAGAACGCTCCAATCTTTCACTGCCTTTCTTTTAGAAGTTCATAAAGGGTCCCACAATAAATCTTTTTTTATCTGGCATTTAATTTTGGTTAACCTAGATGGTATCGTTGTTTATGTTTTGTTGTATTGCAATCAAATTTTTGTGTTTTTGTTGTTTTGTGAGTTTTTTTTAAAACACTTTGGGCTTCATCTTAGCATGAAATAAGCTGTGCAAAATAATACATTTTTATTATTTGACGATTTAAAATCCACCAGAATAAACATCAGATTTTGTTGCCGTCTTTGCCTGGTGTTTATTATCTACACAGCAGACTGAAATGACACGGGTCATATTGTATTTTGTGAGGTGTCCAATTCTCACCTTTCGTTGACAGGAAAAAGCTCTTGTTCAGCTGTTGCTATCACTGTTCACAGCTATTTTCTGCAGGCAGCTGAATGTCACTGTGCAGTAAACCGCTTAGTTTTAAGAGAGTCAAAACAGAGACTTTTCCTTTGGCTTGTTCAATCACACATCCTGATTGGAGCCAAAATGTCATGCAAGGATTGACATATTGGCCTTTGGAAAAAGGGGCTGTGGTTTGCAGCTGTAGGTAAATGTGTGAAAGTGAGGGAGGGTTTTTTTGTTCAGGCCTACCGTAGCTTCTTCACATTCTTCTCACAGATCTTGATGTAGATGATGATCGGGTAGATTTCTCGCCGCAGAAGGTCTTTGACGCAGCTCAGCTCGGCCTCGAGCAGGCAGTGTTTGCCCTGGTGACGGGTGGAAAGAATGGGCTTTACAGATGAACGCAGATCTATACTGTGTAATGCGGACATGGTTGGACGCACAGATATGCACACAACACCTCTCGTAACACAACGAATAATCTTTTTCAGAAGACATTCTGCCTGATTGATTAAATGTAAAAGGACAAAGTGGTATCATGCACATCATACGAATTCAAGAAATTCAATTAAATCATTTTTTTCTCCAAAAAAAAGACGAAAGATGGACAATAATTGAATACATACAACAACAAACTCCAAAAAGGAAGAATGCAACATTTTGGGAAAAACGTCTTTCGTGCATAAATGAGTACATTGTTACCACTCTTAGATCTGCACAGTGAATATGAAGCAAAAGCTAGCAGTCGCTTAGCTTAGCTTAGCACAAGGGAAACTCAGGGAAGCCTGGCTTCGTCCAGCAGTATTAAAATCTACCAGCACCTCTGTAGCGAACTATTTAACACAAAAAAAATGTTTGGGACCGAACCAGTCTGTTTGCTAAGCTAACCGGCTGCTGGATCCATCTACATATTCACCTTACAGATTTAAGAGTGGTATTTCAAAATATTCAGTTAACAATAAACACACACACACACACACACACACACACACACGCGCGCGCGCACCCCCACACTAGTCAATAACAGCCTACCTTAGAAGCGACAGCCTCTATGTTTTCTCGGGTGATGCATTCAAAAGTGGTGTGTTTCTCTTTGTAGTGAATGAATGGCTCCACGTTCTGTTTCAGATGAAACACTTCTTTGGACAGGGTGTCTAAACGATGGAACAGAATAGAGTCGAATACAACCGTGTAGAAAGAACATAAATAATACATTTGAAACAGAAAATGTTCAGAAAC